GATGACCAGCTCCGCGCTTTCATTCCGAGGATACTTTTGTAGTGGCCTGAAAACACATCACTTTTCCCTTAAAACTATGGCCGTTGCACCTATTGTTTACTACAGTTTTTCTTTGGTCAACCTCAAAGGGGTCTTTTGATGTTACACTCGTTGCCGTTATGTAATAGTGTTTTTCCCAACGGCCTGGAGAGAAACAGCGTCGTTGGTGAAAACAACACGGACGAGGGGCCTCACTTCGAAAACTCATATCAGATATTCAATTACGCATTGGGTTGACGGCAAGAGCCTGCGTCCCCCTGGGGAAAGCGGCTCTCGCGTAAACAGACAATGCACTTCGCCAATGTTTATATCAGCTCTCGGTGGCAGTGGCCAGCGCGGACGGCGGCGGCGGATGACTGGCGAACGACCGCATCCAGCACGGCGGCGGCGAAAACACGGCCGCTGTCGAACAGCGCGTAAAAAACCGCCCGCGGCTTTTCGGCGTTATGTCACATGCCGCGGAGCTGCGCGACCAAACGCACCAATACCGCGTCACGACGCGGCGCAGCTCAGTCAGTTGGCGTGTTCAGCGCATATCATTGCATCGGCGACAGCCCGAAGCGACAAAAAGCGCTCCGCCGTAACGATTTTCCCCAGAAACCCACTGCACGGCGGCGGGAGCTGCGCGCCGCGGCGTACATGAGGCGGATTGTTGGCTGACTGGACGCGGGCGTAAGCACTGAACACCCGGCGTCGCGTGAAAACAACAAAGCAGTGGTTGCGGGAACTCCCTATTCCCTTCTTTCCTCCTCAAAACTATTAGAACGTTTACAAAAAGCGTAACGAGTTCTTCTGATACCCACAAATGAAGATGACAGCCAAGCCTGTCATGAGCCACAGTCAACACGCGCCTGGGCGGCCAGTCGAATGGAACGCACCCAGGCGACGGGGCAATTTGGCCCCCTGGATCTGAAAAATTAAGAGAGCTGGTGCACCAAACTGAAAGGGTACGTAAACGTTCATGTGAGCCCATAAGTATCAAATTTTGAGGTCTCTGGGCATGGCCTGATCAAATAAGGCCAAATAAGGTCAAACTTCACATCAGCGTTTGAAGTCACCGTAGACCTTTTTACGCTTTCGCCTTCAAGCTAGATATTTTTCAAAGAAATGTCCCTAGTGCTGATATAGTCAGTGACCTAATTTGTCCTTTCAGAAGGCAAAGATGACTAAAAACCTTCGATCGTATCGGCATCCGAAATCAGAATCGGCATCAACTACACCAGGCGGCATGTTCCTCAGGGCAAAAAGGCCATCAGGGTCACTCTAGGCCTGTGACCTCCCCATGACCTCATAGATGAGGCAGTAGTATTAGCCTTATTCCCCGGAGAAAAAAAAACAGGAGAATGGAAATATAGTTGGGATGATATTTCGGCAACATGCGTTTATCGAAACAACAGCAGAGGCTATTGTAATAAAGTACTTCTGCTATTGTTTCGACAAAAGCATGTTGCCACAATATCAACCCAACTATATCTCCATCCTGATTTTTTCCGAGGAATAAGACAAGCACTTCCGTCTTATCTATGTGAAAACTGTTCCTCGCTTATGTACTGGACGACTCCCCATGACCTCCATGAAGTCTAAAGTCCATGAAGATAATATGTCTGTTGATGTCCATGTGATCGGAGAGCTGGAAATGACCGTCAAAAAACTTCCCCGCGAAGCAAGCTTACCACCAGTAAAACGGTCCAGTTTTGACTGACTTTTATACCTGACCCAAGGTCAATGGAAGTAGTCCTAATGTTAATTGCAATTGCTTAATTGTTCCCGAAACCAACTCAAAATAGTGTGACTTCGTTCAGCACTCCGTGGTTGCATCAGATTGAACGGTTCCCTAGCAATTGCCTTCGCTGACAGCCATGGCCTGACTTTGACCTGCTTTGTCAGCTGCCTGACCAAATATCCCCGATTTTGTAAACCAAAAGATCGGCTTTTCAGTTGCCTGCAGCTGTACAAAAATTGACATAGCTGAGAAGCGAGGTTCATCATTAGTAAATCATTGTGGAAAAGCTTTCAATGGAAAGGGGGGGGACCCTCACCCATGCGCGTTAACCGACCTGTTGCAAAATTCATTGACCGTGGCTCATCACGATATGGCGGCCCTGAACACCAAGGAGCTAGAATTGCTTTTGAACTAGGGCGGGAGTGAAAAATTTCACCGCAAAAGGACCGTGCAGGAGCGAAAAAATCCATTCACAAAAGATGGAACCTATGATCTCGTGACTGATGCTTCTGCAAAGACATCTATTTCAAGTTGGCATGGACGTAATATCATAAACCTGACAACACTTTTTGGTTTTTAACATCTTAAGCCGTCAGAGTGAAGCAAAATACATTAAAGCATAGTAATTTTATGACCGTGTAATGAGCATAAACAATTATCAACACCAATAATTAGACGCTGTACTTTGCACTTCCCTTCCGCAGCACTTTAACACAAAACAAAGCAAAGGAATTCAATGGCAAAAAAAATATCAAGAAACATAAAGCACTCAAACAACAAAACCTTGGACTCCTACACATCACCCCATCACCAAGTCAAATACAGTAGACATGCCTCTGGCTTTCGTTAGGATGGGGTCACGGAAAACAAACATTTTGTCACTGTTTCTTACAAAATACCAATGTTTATTCCATGGAAGCAGCCTAACTATGCCTAACGTAAAGAGGCCTTACTGCATCTCATCCCGTCCCATCTGTTTGTATCACAGCAGCAGTCGTGAGTCACTGATTCTTGCACAATTCCTGTTGCCACTTGCCATGTACTTAACCAACTTAACAGAACTTAGAGTCGCCCTTATGCTGTACATCATCTCAACTCACCTATCTGTTGACAGCAGCGCTTGTGATAAGAACATGATATAGCTAATTTTTGGCCGGTATCGACTTGCATTTTCATTCCCTCCATTGTGTATGCTTGTTGACATCAGACCAAGTTGACAACACATATCAAAATACTTGAAATCCCTTTTAACGACTTATTTTGGTTGCCACGGTCAACCTATGTCAAGGGCAATAATGGGTATGCTCCACAAAACAATCCCTCTGCTCCAAAAATAGCATAACCTTTACATGATCATGCCAGTATTGCTGCTTGCCTTTTCAGCTGCAGCAAAGGCATCTTTAGGATTGTGTATTCATGTCAAATGACAAAGTTTGACATGTTGGCGTCACATTTTAAATGGGATGGGCTGACTAACTGTTACACACTAATATATAACTTATATTAGAATTGCTATGCAGCTTACAGTATCCCTGTGTTAAAAACATAGTGCATATACACAGTAGTCATTTGCCAGCCAGCAAACCATGACAACTATGTGAAGCATCTCTTTAAAGCAACCAGGAGGGACCAGTTCCAGAACGTTGGGGCAAATAATCAAGAATATGAACAAAATAAGTCCACTGCATGCCTCGTGGCATCATAATTTGTCTTACGACAAAAGTCGATTGATTGAAACAGAAAATGGCTTATTCTGGTTACTTATCATGTGTTGAAAGCATGTAAGGTAAGCAGTTACTTGGTCCACAGGAGGCTTACTGGCTTCTTCCTGCTCCCCCAAAGCAAAGCCAGTACCTTTTGCATGGTATGCTAGCAGACAGTCATCCCACTCGCCCCCCCCCCCCCAAAGTATAAATGTAAATCATGCCCACCAGCATACGAGATTAAAATGCGAAGCACGTAAGCGGCGTGCATGGTAAACATCTCCAGAGGGCAGAATTTCGCCATCAAACACTCCTGTGTTAGCTGCGTCAGGTCTGTCCCAAAGCTCTGTATGGCAGCATAAGGATGGCCTTGTTAGGTAGCCTGTTGCGTTAGGTACTCAAAAGGCGTAGATTTATCATTACTGAGCACCGCCATGAACCAAGAAAATGGTTAAACGAGGGTTTAACAGAGAAAAAATGGTGGTAAAAATACGTTCCGGGCTTCAAATTGTATCCTTCATTCCCCGCGAATTCTTCACCCTTTGGCGCATACCGAACATGTTGGGCGGCTCGCGAGTTAATCCAATTTATGTATGAAATGCGTACAAGTTTGCAGTTGGAGAATCTTGCAGAGAAATTAGTCAAATTTTTAAGCAACAGATGGTACCTCTAAAGGCAATCCAAAAGAAAGAAAGAATAAAGTGGCTTCACACTCGTATGATACCACGAAAAATGAAAGTAGTTAAATAAGTATGAAGACCGATACCTGTCGGGCAAAATTTTATTATCAGCTGATTCGACTTAAAATCGGTGAAGTCAAGTGCTTAAATGGTGATATTCATCTTGTAAATTTAATTTGGAAGACATTTCTTGAATCCTTCACTCCTGCACTTCGGGAGTGATGCAATTCAGTGGTCAAGTTTCCTCGGGGAAAAATAAATGCGTGGAGTAAAATTATCTACCAGGCCTTGCTGGTGTTTGCACCAGGCTCTGCTTTCGTGGTGCGGTGATGAGACGAAAAGATAGGGGACGCGTGTAAATCATGCATTTGGCTCACAGCTGCCGACTGTAATGCATTTTGTAAACGAACCACACTTAATGCGTGCAAGCGGCTGGAGTTGCTGGGGTTCTTGGACTCGAAGGTACCTGGCGCCCTTGCTCTGTGCAAACATACACATGATTCAGCTGTAGGTGAGGCAGGACCAGACATAGGTGGCCAGGTTCTGTGGAGTCTCGTTCACGCTTGGTGATTTCAAGTGAGCTCGGCTTTGGATGACATCTGAAAACCTCAGAAAGGGTAATAGAGGTTTGGCATGTGCGTTAAGATAATGTCAGGCGGGAGTGAAAAATTCAGATCAAATATGGGGAAAAGAGCGAAAAATTCCTCCTCATCGGGTGTTGCGTTACGCCCAACGTCGGCATTTCTAGGACACTGCTGAACACAATAATCGTGCATGCTTTCTAAAAGCATCGTAATAGCAACTGTGAATGTTTAAACGGTACTTTCATACATATATCACAAGTGAAAGCAAAGCAATCTGACACTCTTGTATTGGCTCCATTGCCAGTCCCATGACTCAGCTCCATAGGAGTAAGCAGAACGCCATTCCATACAACAATCAGACAACGCATAACATTTTCCCAAAATAGGTCGCATTTTAAGTGATGATCACGGCTTAGGGCAATGCCAAACAATACCGCAGACAGAACTAGCAGAGCACGAATACAAATGACAAAAAAATACACGGTGGTACGGAAGCGCATACCACGTAGCGGAAGACGGAACAATGTCATGCAGACACAGAATCACAGTGATGTACTGCTCACCACTACGGTGCACGGGGGACGGAGGGAGGGAGGGAGGAAAGGAGGGGGAGAGGGGTCCGGTGACTCCTCCGGTGCCGTAGAATCTCCACAGGCGTCAGGTCAAGAGTGGCCTTGCAGGTTTCGCAGAAGAAACCCCCGGTTTTACTGTCGCCGTTTTCTACAGGCTCCAATTGCGGTTCTTCCCGCCCTGAAGCAAGGCAAACAAGAGCATGAGGGCACGTGCCCAACGTCACAAACATCACGCAGACATCTCAAGTCGCGGACGGCGCGCGCGCACGCAAGCACGCACGCACGCATGCACGCGCGCACGCACACACGCACACACCCACCCACACCCACACCCACACCCACACCCACACCCACACCCAAGCCCACGCTCCCCCGAGCCGCCCCCCCCCCCCCCCCCGTGCGCGCTGTGCGCCCTCCGACGCGACACCGGCCAGGCGTCGGCCCCGTGCACCGACCACCACGTACCGGACGCCGTCCTGGGCTCGAGGATGCACTGGCGCCAGTGGTCGAACCTGTGCAGTGGCAGTGCGCCGAGCAGCCGCTCGCAGAACGGGCACAGCTCGTCGACCAGCGACACGGCCTGCTCACTGGCCAGGCTGCGGTGAGAGATGCGAGTCATGCCCGGCGCGCCGAGTCGGGCGGGACGCGGCGCCTGGGGACCGCGGCGACGCGGCCCGGGGGAGAGGGTCGGCGGAGGCGGGGACACGGCCCGGGAGACCAGGCCAGCGGAGACAGTGTCACTTTTGTAAGAGCGGGCCAGTGCAGACGGTGTCATTGACCGGGAGAACGGGCCAGTGGAGACGGCGACGCGGCCCGGGAGAGCGGGTCAGCGGAGACGGTGTCACTGCCCGGGTGAGCGGGCCGGCGGAGACGGCGGTGCAGGACTGCACCGCGCCGTCCGCACGTCACGCGGAGGCGGACGCCAGAATGGTGCCGGGGAAATACCAAGCATTTGCAAAAAGGCGACGACCAACCCCAAAGTCAGGCGTAATCACCAGCACCAGAAATATCGTGCTCAGATTAAGTCAGATCCAATAACTCCGAGGCAAAAGACTCAAGCCTTGAAACGTGGAACGGAGGTCCGAGATTGTATCTTTTGTTGCATCATATCCGTTATCATGCTCTCTCTCTCTCTCTCTCTCTCTCTGTCGAGGATAGAGCTAAGATAGAGGAGCGGTGCGCGTACTAGAGAGATATACGACCGATAGAGAGAAGCCTATATCTCTCTCTCTCTCTCTCTCTCTATCTATATCTCTCGTCTCTCTCTCTCGCTCTCTCTCTATCTCTCTCTCTATCTCAATAGCTATCTCTCTCTCTCTGTCTCTCTCTCTCTATCTCTCTCTCTCTCTCTCTCTCTCTCTCTCTCTCTCTCTCTCTGCTCGCGTGCGCGTGCGTGCGTGCGTGCGTGCGTGCGTGCGTGCGTGCGTGCGTCTGCGGTGCGTGCGTGCGTGCTGCGTGTGTGTTATGCTCGCTGTGTAGTCAAGTATAAATGGGAAATGCAGTTCAGCGGCCGGTTCAGGATTGGCTCAGTAATCACTGACGTGGTAGAATGAGAGCGGTGTTGCGGAAATATTTGGTAATACCGTGCTCACTTTGGAAAATCATTCGAGCAGCACCTGTCTTTAAAACTGCAGTCGGCGGACCTGGTTCGTAAAGCACAGAAATCCACCGTTTGGACCTCATGGCTACAAATGTCACAGATCAAGCCGAATAAAATACAACACGTAAATTTGTAGCATGATGACTATAAGGGAAGATCGGAGAAATTCTCCAAATCCATCACGCAACGATGCTTACTAGACCACATTTGCCACAGCACAAACACACATGGTAGTTGCAAACAAGCTGGTCTCCACCTGACGTATCTGAGGGAACAGACCGATCACTACCCGTCGTATCTGCGGCAGATGACAGGTCATCACCAATCAAACCTGTCGTATCTGAGGTAGCCATCCGGTCCTCACCTGCCGTATCCAAGGTAGCCATCCGGTCCCCACCTGTCCTATCTGAGGTAGCCATCCGGTCCCCACCTGTCTTATCTGAGGCAGCCATCCGGTCCTCACCCGTCGCATCTGAGGTAGACATCCGGTCCTCACCTGTCGTATCTGAGGTAGCCATCCGGTCCTCACCTGTCGTATCTGTGGTAGCCATCCGGTTCTCAATGTCATATCTGAAGTAGCCATCCAGTCCTCACCTGTCGTATCAGAGGTAGCCATTCGGTCCGTCGTATCTGAGGTAGCCATCCGGCCCTCACCTGTCGTATCTGAGGTAGCCATCCGGCCCTCACCTGTGGTATATGAGGTAGTCATCCGGCCCTCACCTGTCGTATCTGAGGTAGCCATCCGGCCCTCACCTATGGTATATGAGGTAGTCATCCGGCCCTCACCTGTCGTATCTGAGGTAGCCCGGCAGCTGGGCGGAGCCGGACGCCTCCTCCGGCCGTCCCGTAAAGATGGCGCTTAGGTCGGCGGGTAGGAGGCGGCGGTACGAATAAAACACATCGGTGTGTAGGTACTCGGTGAGCGCGGTCACCAGCCGGGTCCGCAGCGTCGCCTCCTCCTCTGACTCGTGCAGCTGCTCCGAGCTGCGGTCTGCAGCCGTCCAGCGGCCGGTCACGCACGGTGGCAGGCCTCCCGGCGCTAGCAGTCCACGCGCTCCCGCCAAACGGCACTACTACACCAACACCGCAAAGCATGTGGATTGACTACTATCCTCATCATTGCAAATAATATTGCTAACCAACGCAATTCAATGTAACAGGCCCAAGCTGGGCCCGAGTTCATCCTGAAGACACGAATCGTCGAGCTGGCACACACCAGACACGTCACAGAAGCCGCCGATTACCAGACGTAGACGTAGACGTGACGTGACGCAGAAGTAAACAACTGTCGACACGGCTTCGTGAGCACTCACTAGCGAGCCGGACCTGCAGCAACTGGGACCACCACTGGCGCAGTGTGACCGCACGCGCCACCAGCTGCTGCGCCTGCGACGCGTCCGTCACCAGGAACTCCACCCAGCGGTCACAGCAGAGGCTGGCGGTACGGCGGTGCCGAGGTCACAGACTGCGCCGACGGAGCGGCCGCCGCCCGCGCCGCCAGCAGCCGAAGCCAGCCGCGTGGCATGGCCCTCGCTCAAGCAAGTATGCCGGGCGATGGTGTGCTCACCGCTGCGTGCTGAAGAGTCGGCTCAGCCCCGCACGCAACACGACTATCCGATCGTTCCCCTCCGGCTCTCCTCTCGCGGGCACGCAACACCCAAGCCACTGACGACAGTGGCCTGGCCTCCTGCATCGCCACTCCGTCCCCACACCCGGGCCTACGTGCTGAAGGTGACGTCCGTGTCGATGGTGTTGCTGAAGAGCAGAGCCGCCTGCAGAGCCGGCACCCTGGTCACCCCCGTCACATATGGTTTGGTCGTCTCCAGAAGCGAACTGCCGAAAACACCACCAGGGATTCACAGATACCCAGGTTGCACGCGTCACGCACGGCCAGCGCGCCTGCAGCGAGGCCTGTCCGCCGCGCTGACGGTTCACTTGTTCCCTGTTGCACGCGCCACGTACGGCCTGGAAGTGTTCAGCCGTCCCAGCGACGAGTTCACAATCCCCAGCCGCACAATTGGCAGAGCCAGTGATCGAACGGCACCAACTGATGATTACTACCGAAAGCCACAGTGATCAAACGAGCCAGCGTCTCGACACACCGAACCCCTGACCAATAAAACTGCATCCCGGTGCGCGGAGGCTGACGCTAGAGCTTCTGCCAACGATCCACTGCGCTAACACAAGACCGGTGCAACCCGGCATGATCGATACATAGTGGGCCCCCACCCTCTGCCGCCAAGCCGCGGGACCGAGCGCCGACAGTGCTGACCGAGCGCCAGGCGCCCAGGCGCCCAGCCCCCCCCCCCCCCCCCCGACGGTCCATACTCACACGAAGGCCAGCAGCTGGTGCCGGTTGCTGATGACGCTGTGCCGCTGCCGGCGCGGTCCGGTCGGCACACGCACGTCGCTGTCGGCAATCTGCAGCACCTCCGGCGAGAAGGCCAGCACCGAGTTCGGGTGCAGCACGACGAACGGCTTGCTGGGACAGTGGAACACCAGATCCGAGCCCGACTGCAACGGTACGGCGGCGGTGACGGCGACGGCCGGCTAGCCGCGCACACAGCGCTGAGGGCACGGCGACGGTGGCGGTGACGGTGACGGCCCGCTAGCCGCGCACACAGCGCTGGGGGCACGGCACGGGCAGGTCACGTGGCCTTGACCAAGCCCGTCCGGGGCACTGAGAGGGGTCGGAGAGCGGCGCGGGCGGCCCACGTGCCCCTGACCAAGCCTGCCCGAGGCACTGAGAGGGGTCGGAGAGCGGCGCAACGCGACGCGGCGTGGGGTGGGACCACCCGCACTGAGCGTCCGCACGCCGCAGTACGAGCAAGCCACATCCCGGCTGCTGCTTCCCTGATAGACACCGCAGCTGACAGCTGTAGCTGTCAACGGCGCCCATGCGCCCCGTGCCGTGCGCGCAAATGAAGACCCCACGGGTCAAACCCGGGTAAATATAAAGCCTTCAGGTGTAACTTTCCATCCCCACCGTAAGCTTATGCAGAGGGAGTGCGTCCTGTCTCACCTGGCAGGGCCCATGCCTGCACGCATGTCCCGGATCTAGCACGTAGACTACCTTGTACGTGTTGTGCAGATCCGGCAGGACAGCGCCCGGTCTCACCGGACAGGGCCCATGCCTGCACGCATGTCCCGGATCTAGCACGTAGACTACCTTGTACGTGTTGTGCAGATCCGGCAGAGCGAAGTTAGGATAGAGGCCGCTGCACAGGATGATCTTGAGCAGCGTCTGGTCTCGGTGCGACGCCAGTTTACTGGCCCTCAGCAGCTCCTGCAGACGACGGCCCGTTGTGGCAGCACGACATCGCACGCGCACAAATATTCACATCCACAATGCACTGGCCTCGAGGCGGCGTATCCGTCTTTGATTTTTGTACATTATTTACGTGTAGACGCGGGATATTTTCAACACTACTAAAAGGCATGCTAGGGTTTTAAGCCAATACGCTGTTTCTACTCCACATCCAGTGCTAGGTCCAATGCTTAATGGTGTGCAGCGAGCGTTCGCAAGTTAAACTAACCACAAAACACGAGAAGCCCTTAAGACCAGAAACAATAACCACGCATGAAGAGCCAACCCATTCACCCATACATCAGCCAACATATCGCAGTGATTAGGGGCAATGGTTCCCCTCACACACACACACACACACACGCACGCACGCACGCACGCACGCACGCACGCACGCACGCACGCACGCACGCACGCACGCACGCACGCACGCACGCACGCACGCACGCACGCACGCACGCACGCACGCACGCACGCACGCACGCACGCACACACACACACACACACACACACACACACACAACACACACACACACACACACACACACACACACACACACACACACACACAGTGTGTGTGTGTGTGTGTGTGTGTGTGTGTGTGTGTGTGTGTGTGTGTGTGTGTGTGTGTGTGTGTGTGTGTGTGTGTGTGTGTGTGTGTGTGTGTGTGTGTGTGTGTGTGTGTGTGTGTGTGTGTGTGTGTGTGTGTGTGCGTGTGCGTGTGCGTGTGCGTGTGCGTGTGCGTGTGCGTGTGCGTGTGCGTGTGCGTGCGTATGTGTGTATGTGTGTGTGCGTGCGTGTGTGTCACATATCGCCGTGATTAGGGGCAATGGTTCCCCTCCCCCCACACACGCACGCACGCACGCACAGACGCACGCACGCAGACTGGCCCTCTTTATACCATCTACGGGCGACTGTGGTCCCTGACCGTTGCCTAGCAACACAAAGTAGGGTGGGGGGGGGGGGGGGCAACCAACGTCAATCGGGACAACGGTGGCCTTCGTACGCCAGTCAGCCACACTCGTCCCGACCAAAGCCCGCCCCCTTCCCTCCCCCGGCCCGATCTATCCCAGCAGTAGGCACAACTCACTTGCCATAGTGTCGCCGTTTCGCTATGCCTCAATGCTGGTCAGGGCTTCCCATTCTTGCATGCATTTTCCACACGGCCTGAACCCACTCGCCCTAGCGTTTTAATTTTGCTATTTCCAGCCGGTTAAGGGTTCGGGAACATGGCGACTCCCTCTTTGTGAGTTCTCGTTGACTTTTGGGTAACTTGACAAAAGCAAATTTTGAGCCGGAATCGAGTTAACTTGGTCTACAGTCGTACAAACCCACTCCGTGACGGCCAACAGCCGGAGTAATGCCCGAATTGTGAATGATGCAGGCTAAGGTCTAAGGATTTCCACCAATGTAACAATTTACCGTAAAATATCAGCCACACGTCAAACCAACATGACATTAATAACCACATCCAGGACGACCACACCACCTTATGTTCATCTCCATGTCGAAAGTGTACATATTGCGCCGCTTATTAGTATTTCCACACCACTCTGTGTCCCACCTACTCACATTGATTTTATTTACGGACTTTTTTATTTACGGGCTATTACCAGTCAACCCGTGCACATTTTTCTAGGCGAACGATCGCCAACAAGAGTGGCCCGCCAGGGGCTCGGCGTGCTTTACTGACTTGTAGTTCGCGCGTGCCAGTGCGCATCTTGAAGTCGATGTCTGAAATGTCGTCGGCCGCATGCTCGTCGTCGCCAGGAGGCCGTCCGACGCGCGGCAGTCGCCGCTGATGAGGCTGCGCCAGCTGCAGCTGCCGGCGCGCAGCGCGCAGCTGCGCCAGCTCGCCGTGACGTCGCACACGTTCAGCCGAGCTGACCAGCCGGGCCGGCTTGGGCAGCAGGCGCGAGTCCTGCCGTCGCGGCGTCACTTCCGGTCATGCTGCCAACGTACACAGAGGGCCGGGCCCGGCCGGCACCGGCAACAGTCGGCAGGCAGCACGGGCAGCACGACGGCGCTCGGCCGATACCACCGGCGGCGGCACGACACTCATTCACAGTCGCGCCCTGGATGAACGCAGCAGGTGAGAGTCCACTGATAACGACGCTACCGGATCAGGGCTGCAGCGTACCACGGGCATGGAACGCTGTGCCGAACGGGTCACACGGTTTTAAGCTTTCACTGAGGTAACGTACTTGTGCTCAAGGCAAATAACCCCACCGTGAGGTCTGGCGGCCCTCCGACATCATCCTGCCACGGCACTGCGTGGGAAGTAGTACGAGAGGAGGGAACATAACTCTGCGTGCACGGATTGTGAGACTAAAGCATAGGGCGGTCACCACGTGCACACGCACCCAGGCCCCGGACGCGAGTCACGCCCGGCGCACCGAGCCGGGCGGGCCGCGGCGCATGGAGACGGCGGCGACGCGGCCCGGGAGACCAGGCCAGCGGAGACGGTGTCACTGCCCGTGAGAGCGGGTCAGTGGACACGGTGTTGCTGTCTGTGAGACTAGGCCAGCGGAGATGGTGTTACTTTTGTGAGAGCGGACGAGTGCAGGCGGTGTCACTGACCGGGAGAGCGGGCCAGCGGATAAGGCGACACGGCCCGGGAGAGCGGGCCAGCGGAGACGGTGTCACTGCCCGGGAGACTAAGCCAGCGGAGACGGCGGTGCGGGACTGCACCGCGTCATCCGCAGCGTCCGCACGTCACGCGGAGGCGGAGGCCAGAATGATGCCGGGGAAATACCAGGCCTCACAAGAAGGCGATGACCAGTGCAAAGTGAGGCTTAATCACCAGCACCAGAAGTACCGTGCTCAGAATTAGTCAGATCCAATAACTCAGAGGCAAAATACTCAAGCTTTGAAACGTGAAGCGAAGAAACGAGATGGGATGGCATTTTTTATTTAAATGTATATATTTTCTTACGTTTATTCTGTAGTTATGCCGCGTAGCGCAGGGATAACAAGGATCGAACAACGAAATGCAGTTCGGCGGCCAGTCCAGGATTGAGTCGGCAGTCACCGAGAGATGGCAGAACGAATGCGTTGTTGCGGAAATATGTCTATAAAAAATACCCGAACGGGTCACACGGTTTCCAAACTTTCACTGAGGAAAGGTGCATGCGCTCACGACAAATAACCCCACCTTGAGGTCTGGCGGTCCTCTGGCACTGTCCTGCCACAGGACTGCGTGGCAAGTGGGACGAGAGGAAGGAGCATAACTCCGCGCGCACGAATTATCACCTATAGCGTAGTGCGGTCACCATGCGCACACGCGTCCCGGTGGCCGACTGGCAGCGACACACCGCTTGGGGGGCGGGCCCATTTGATCCCCTGATATCTCAAAAACCAGACACGCCAAATTCGCAGGTTGGGTAAATCTCACGCGAACTCATTTTTGTCAAATATTGAGGTTCTCAAGTCATGAATTTTGGGTCCAATACGGTCGCACATAGTCATACCACGTGATGTGTCCAGTGTCCTGAGACTTTAGGCAACCGCCTTTAACCAAGGTCATAGGCGTACGAACGTTTCAAAAAGTGCGGGACCAAGCTCAGGGTGCACTTTAGGAACTTTTTCTAGAAAGCGAGCCCGATGACCGGCGGGGGAGGGGGGTAGGGATGGAGGTTGTTATCGCTCTTTACTCAAATGCCACGGCTGCTATGCTAGATATATGATGATATCTAGTGGTGCACAATCTGGCCTATTCGACTCATCTGTCATTTGGCAAATAAAGCCATCCAGCTTCCCTAGATTATTCGTCCATTTTAACATTGTCTTTCCCGGCGAGGCGAAATTCCACGAGCGGATAGGTACTTTGGGTCATTAAGGAAGCATCTGCCTCCACAGTGTAGATATCAAAATACGGCCTGGGTATAGGCCGGTGATAATTTTGAAAGTAGATCGATTGCTCACAGTGCGACAGATTTTTCATGCGCCTTCATTTTGCTGGCCGCTTTCCAAGAGATAAGACTGGTCGCAGTATTTTAGGCGGAAACAAATTCGGGAGCTTGAAACTGCTAGAAACAATGTGCCAAGTCATAAAACTGGAGATTCTCTTTTAAGAATCAAGTCACATAACAAGGACCATTTGTCATATACCCCTTACCTGGACCCTGCTCCTGTCCGCCGTCAGTGGCCACTGCCCTGGTCCGGATGTCTCCCGCATGACTGACTGCTTTGTTGCATACTTTGGGACCAGCGTTACTACTACATGGTAAGTAAAACGCGTGTCGGACACCTGCATCAGTATCTTGTTCTGAATTATCTTCTCTCACACCACACCATCGCAGAAAAATAGCCTACGGGAAGCTGTCTGCCTTAGGTGTGAATTGGCCTAACGGACACCTCATTGCCCATCATGCAACGTATACGACTTGATTTGCTTTTCTGTGTAGGCAGGGGCGTAGCCAGAGCCTTGCCAAGGAGGAACACAAGGTTGACAAAAGCCCATCTTATGTTGATGCCCCCCCCCCCCCCAACAAAAAATCCCCCGATATAGCTTACCTGTTAACAAGTGACACGGTTTTCTTCATTTTATTGTTATTTTTATCCTGTAACCAGAACAGAAACCAGAAGCTACCGTGAACTCAATTCTGTTTGCATTTTGGGGTCAATAAACTGCAGAAATCAGACGTTCAACGACTGCATGGGGGAAATCACCGGCGCTCTTAATTCACAATGGCTAGTTGGCTTTCCAAACCAATAGAACCCAGGAGCTTTGTCAATTTTTTATCTCGGTTCTACAGACATTGAGGACATCGCGAAGGTAGATTGTAGAACGATATGTTTAATCCATATTTGAAGATGAAAATTTAATTGTAGATCGAGTGGCAAACAATGTGTATTAACATGGCCAAGCCATGATTGTCCGAAAATTTTCACAATTCAGTCAGAATAGATTAGTGATACAATTTATGTAGCGTGTTTTTTTATATGCGCACTCGCAAATTTTAGCAAAGAGAACCTCGATACTAGGCGTTTCAGTCTCCGTAGTCCGCGGAGCTGTAGCCCAGTAGCTAACATGTAGCCGCGGCCCACCGATGGACGAAAATGATGACGCTTCTGAAATGATAACCTTTAAACACTTAAATCGACTAGTAATACACGTTATGTGACGTAATTTTGAGCATGCGCACTCGAAAATTTTAGAAACACGAGCTTTGACCCCAGGCGCTGTAGTCTCCGTAGGCCACGCAGCGTCAGTGCGACAGCTAATATTAAATTGTGCCCGACGGATGGACGAAAATGACGACGCTTGTGAAAAAGTATCCTAGGACGCTTCATAACATCGGATGTTGTATTTCGAAGGCAGCCTGAGCGCATATTTCAAGTGTGCGATTTTTAGACTGATTAAAAGAACGGATTGGCCCCTACAGCACCACGAAGTGGGGCTGGCATCTATTGGTTGAACTGGAAGAGTGAAGGCAAAATCTCCATTTTTCGTGTCTTCACAGCTATTTATTGTCCAGAGGACAGATTAACGCGGCGACCGCCGTCTGGTGGTACTTGCAATGGCCCAAACTTTTCGATTTTACGTAAGTTGCAACCCAGTCCATCCTTATCCTTGTTCTCGAGGTTGTGGGCGGGTATGCGTAAGCCTTTGGAAGTAATTTGTTTCAATAATACATCCTGAAAAAATGGACGTCCTCAGGCAAACATGGTATGACCTTGCTCGTTTTTTTAATTCATTTCGACCCGCGCCATTCAACAGTAATGAGAGCCCCACTCTACTCCACAATAATGAGACCCCTTATTTCCTTCCGAGCAAGGGGCCTCTTGAGTAGAACACCAGGGGTACATTATTATCTCCGGTCAAGGGCTAAATGGCCATTCCGTTCCATCGCGAAGTGTCTTCTGGCTATCATTTTGGTGGCATGGGGCGGGATCTCCTGGCCGATCCGGAGGCCATTTAGAAGGATATATCATAGCACATTGTTTCCGTCCCTGACACGGGAGGCCATCTGACCCACGCAGTTAGCCCCGGATCAGCACAGGAATCCTCATTGGCGCAACAACATCCCTGATCACCGCAGGTAGTCCGATAGTTGTCACATAGACCCCAGTTCCGTGTTTCTCTGTGTTCTTCAGAGATAGTGAGTTCTCCCTGACTGTAGATTGTAGATGAAATGGGGTTCCTAACTTGTATTAACATGGCTAACCCATGTTCGTCTCAAAATGCTCAAGATCCTGTCAGAGCTAATTACTGAAAAGAAAACTACGTACTATGGTGTTGAACATGCGTGCTCGCAGGGCATAACAATAGCAGCCTCGACGCCTGGCGTTGCAGTCTCCAGGCCGTGCGGCGTCGGCTTTGCGGCTGTAACACTAAGCGATGGCCAATGAGCGAACGAAGAAGATGACGCATCTTAAGGGAGATGGATGGTGAACTAGGTAAATCGGCATGCATGTTTAATGTGGTGCAAAAGTAATTCAAATGCAACCTTAATCTGAAAAGTGGGGGGGGGGGGGGGCAGTTAACATTGCTGGCCCACCCCCACCTTGAAAAGTGGGGGGGGGGGGCATGGCCCCTCTGCCCCCTGTTCCTACGCCCATGACCAAGGTAACTGTTTTAAGCAAAAGGTCACTGGCATTCAGATCACGTCAGTGACACTACTTGATCTTTGGAAGGTCAACATGACCAAAAGCATTCGACACTGTTTTGATATTTGAACTTTGAAACGTCCAGAACTATGCTAAGCAAGTCCTAAAAGCAAATGATTCATCGAAGTCCTTTTACTCCGCTGACCTTCACGGCGTCGCAATAATATTCTTCTGACGTCCCTGTAATCACATCGTTGAAAATGAGCATATAGAACTAACCAAGAAAGCGAGTTTTCCAGTGTTGGGACAGCTTTCTTTTGACCTAAATCCGACCTTGATACCTGGCCTAAAAGTCAATGTAATTTGTCGTAATCCCAATGCATTTAAATCTAAGCATATAAGAAGCCATCAAAAAAAAAATGACTGCATCGTCCGATGAGATTGGAAGATTCCCTAGGGCTTGCATTCGCTGACAGCCATGGCCTGACTGACCTGCCACACGCCGGCGATCCCACAAGCCATATCTCATTTTAATGCTTACAAATTAGCTATTCAATTGCCTACATACGACGACGGCATACGACGCTTGGCGCGACTTCGCCGAAACGTTTGGTAGCTCTTGTGGAAAAATGTTCCAGGTCAAACGGACCCTACCTGAGTGTGTTGTGTTTAAAAAGCCTCACATTGTGCCGCAATGGGTCAGTTTAACACAAAAACTACTTATCTTGTACTGTGTGACGGCGAAAGACAAGTACAGCGTAAAGCTATTCCCACAACTGTGCCACATCGGATGTGGCAGTCGCTAACAAGTTGTAATGAACAATGAGTGCCGAAGGCTAAAATCTTGCCTGGCAAGTTCCACCCTTACTCGAGAGCAACGTGATTGCGGGGCATTATGTAACGACTCCTATGAAGATCTTAGCGGGTTCATATTTAACTGAAAATGGTGTCATATTTCGGCACACGAAGTATTTTACTGACCAGGAAGCCAGCAAGCTTTATTAATTAGTGCCGCCTGATACTCGGTACAGATACATTTGAAATTGCTACCATAATTGGCACATAGAAAATTGCTTATATGACCTTTGCACATACGCAACTCTTTTAAGATCAGCTCCCGACATCTTCACGAACCAAACGGTCCGTGGTGGTAACGTGCCAGCGTAGTTTCACGAAGGACGTTTCTTTTTTGTGCGAATGGAAACAAGAAGAAATGGGAACAAATTGGACCATCCTCACCAAGATGCGTGGAACTTTTAGAGTGGTTCTACCAAAGTTCAGGCAGTCATTACCCTGCCACTCGTTAGGCCCGCGAAAGAGAGACTATTCTCCTCTCGTCAAACCGGCGAAGCCCACGAAAACAAGCAACACGTAGTACGAGAAAAAGCGTAGCACCAGCGCAAGCTGTGACAAGTTCATGAAGTTGAAAACAGACATCACCGAGAGTTAATTGAGCAAGAACGCAATTGACAACAAAAATGACAGGACTCACTGGTCCGCTTGTACCCGATGCATGTAAGGCACGAAGCAGAGCTGCCAAGAGAAGTTAAAATGCTCCAACTCGCTCCAACGGCTTCGACTCGTCATGTATAACTCATTTTCTTCGCAATACGCTTTACGGATATAGCTAAACGTGTTCAATTCAGGTATGTTCCTCATTGCTTGATCTACCCATTTCCTTCTCACAGCACCGAACAAGCAGATCATGGGAGAACTGAAGACCTTGGGCTGGGCGAGTGCACGATCCGGCCGAACCGCCGCAATCGTCGTCGATGCAGCCGCGCTCCTCAGTGTTTCTGGCTCTCGGCCGGTCCGCAGCAACCGTAGCGTCGCTGGTGTGACGATGCGAATCAGTGAGGCTTCGAGACCTCGACCTCGACCTCGAGGCTCATCAGGGCGGTGTGACGGGGTATGAACTGGGCTTCGAGACCTTGACCTCGATCTCGGCGCTCATCACGGCGGTGTGACGGGCGAATGAAGTGGGCTTCGAGACCGCGATCTCGACCTCGAGGCCCATCAGGGCGGTGTGACGACGCGAATCAGTGAGGCCTCGAGACCTCGACCGCGACCTCGAGGCTCATCAGGTCGGTGTGACGACGCGAATCAGTGAGGCTTCGAGATCGCGACCTCGCGAATCAGTGAGGCCTGGAGACCTCGACCGCGACCTCGAGGCTCATCAGGCCGGTGTGACGACGCGAATCGGTGAGGCCTCGAGATCTCGACCTCGACCTCTAGGTTCATCAGGTGACGCTCCATTAAGGTTAGGTGGCGAACTACAAGTTTACTGAGGTCACATGCATCTCCACATGCAACGAACGTCTCAAAAACTGTACTCATCCCCAAAACCAATCAACGGTACAGGTTGGTCTGTGCGTTCACTGCATTTTGATAATTTCTGTATCTTACTGAAATGCGCATAAGCTTAGGGATTTTCAGCATATCCTTCAATTTATTTCATGACTGTCGGGACAATTTACACCACCTCCGCAAAACGACTGTCTACATCCCCCTCACGTTTCATTTCTTTTTATTTAAGGTTTAATCCGAATGTCTCCTTTAAATGGATTTTTGGAACAAGAGCCAACGCTACGCAGTGTTTGTTGTACGAGCCTAGACCCCACCATCAGATTGCGATATTTCGCGTCCAAGGCAGAATTTTGCGGCTAAAGCTTAACCTGCCGCAAATGCTCGGCACGGACCGCCCTGCCATCTGCCGTCAACTGACTGTTGACGCGGCCGCTGCAACCGGCCGCAGGCCATCCCAGCCACGGGCAACAGCGAGCGCCTGCAGCGACAACATCTCATACAGATCCCACCCCGGCGACGGTGGGTAAACCTAATGTCAAGCGCTCAACTGGGCTATCGGGCAAAGTGCCAGAACAACCAAAGCTACACTAAACTGGAATGGCTGCCAAGGCCGGGCACGACATGTACCCGGCAGCACCGCTGCGATGCAGATAACGTTGTCGCCTGTACTCACGAACACAATTCGGTGTGGAACCAACGACGGCGTCGGCACGGCTGCATGACAGAGCTGACAGAGCGCCCACCTCCATGATGGTGAGGAACTGTCGCCGCAGCTTGGTCAGCTCGTAGAGCCGCTGCTCCTCTATGCCGCGCTCCAAGCACCAGGTGCGTGACCTGACCTGACCCTTGACCTTGATCTGCAGCCAGCTCACGAACGCCTCCAGCAAGGTCAGAGGGTCCCCGTGACTGCAGTGTAGTTGCTTCAGATTAGCC